GACATATTTTTTACGAAAAAATGACTCTGAAAAATATCGATTATTTTTATGTTTCGGCAGGATTGGCTCTGGCAGACCTGGGTCATACGACTTGTTTAAGTCTTGGTTAACGATCCAAACCTAGCCTATCGTGGTACCTTATGAGATAGCCACTTACCCCCTGGGCTCTCCGACTAAATGTTTGTCCTAGGCGGAAATCAAAACTAGGTCCTTTGTGTGGCAAGCTAAGGCACTGCCATTACGCCAGTATCAGTCGTAAAATTTTGAGTAAGTATATCAACATTTTAGGATGAATTCAACGTTTTGGTCCTAAAGAAATTTCCGTGTAAGTCAAACTGTTTGCAGTGTGTATGTAGATAGAAAACAGCTGGTGAAATTTTCCAACATGCAGCGTGGAAGCACTTTTCTACAGTAATTGGCACTCCAGCGTACTTATTTATTTATAGAACATCGGTCTCTCTGTCGGTCAATACCCCTTTGCTGTAAATGGTCAACTCTGGTTTTTACATTAACCTATCTACATGCATAGGATGTTAAGAAAATAAATGCAAATAAAGGAATTGAGTTTTCAAGACATCTCGAACGATTTTCTTGTGCATGCTTTTTTGCATAACAAGCAGATTTGTATTTTCTACTCCACTTAGCCTGATTATGGGTTTGACTTTGATATTTTCTTCAACATCCGTGCCTCAATAATAAAGGTGAAAAGTGACCATGGTAAAAACTTAACCTGATTATAATTTTGTTAACTTTGATATTTTCGTAATCAATCATTCCTGCCTCAATAACAAAGGTCACTGGGAAAACGGGTAGTAGTAGGTGAAACCCCTACTAGGTGGCTATAGTATAAGTTCAGATCACTCTGTATCTGATCTGTCTCAGAAAAGCATGCCTAGTGTTAACTTTGTCTGTATAAGGGCAAATAGAGCACTTATCGGCTTGTAAGGGTGAGAATCCACCAGAGCTGTGCGAGGTAGCTAAGCGATGTGCGAGGAAAAAATCCACCAATAGAATCACTTCATTTTCCTAGCCTCGCTCAGCTCAGCTCTGGTCGAATAGGGTTGAGCGAAGCGAGGCCATTCTACATACAAAACAAGCGAGAAATGTGTGCGAGGGATGTGTTGCGAGGAATGTGTAGCGAGGAATGTGTTGCGAGGAATGCGTTCCGAGAAATGTGCTGCGAGGTTTCCACTACATCGCATTCCCCCCCGCTCACACATTTCACAGCTTCGCAACGCATCCTCGCTCCGCACATTAATGCGCATTTTGACAGCTCCGCTACGCATCCTCGTACGACACATTTTACTCGCACAGCTCTGGTGGAAACCCCTACACATTTCCACAGCACAGCTACGCATCCTCGTACGACACATTTTACTCGCACAGCTCTGGTGGATTCTCACCCTAAGGCGTAAATTGCGCTAGAACCGCTCTATATGGCGAACTTGACAGTAATTCAAGCTTTAGAGACTAGATCGATCTGTGTCGTGGTGTAGAAAGTTAATTTGGTTACTAGACTCGGGCCACCCAAATAGGCCATATTTGACAGCTGTCAGTTTCATACTAAAGGCGATGTCAAACCAACGGATTTTGATGCGTTTTTTTTTGTAATAGATAGTATGATTCAAGAGGTAGGTTTATATGTGTACAAATGCTAGGAAAACGCCTTTTTCCCGCGGGACAGCGGGTGAAACCGGGCCGCTAGTTTGAAATAATTACAAGCTCCTCAATCTGTGATTAACCCACGAAGGAATTGAACCCGGAACCTTCTGCGTCGCAGGCAGTCGTAGGTACTTACCACTGCACCATATCGGCTACCATAAAATAGTGCTCGCTCAATCACTGCCAACCCCTTTGTTTTAGAAACTAGACTACTTTATCACTCTTACAGTTTCTTTGTCTTCTTACGGGTCACCAGTTTACCGGAAAATTAGTAGCGCAAAGAGATATATGGGGGCCATTTATCATAATCTTGCCACAAAAAGAATCATAAAAACCGAATTGAGACAAGAAAGTGTTGAATCGGTGATAATTTAAGCCTTTCAAAGTACCATTTGGAAGTTCAAACACGCACCGCATGATTGTGCGGCATTTATTTTGATTTTGCAGGTCACAAAACAAGTAATTCGTATAATATGCCTTATGAAGAGTTCAAATGATTTCTATGTCAAAAATCCACTGGAACTCTGGGATTGACCTTTCGTCTTTAGCTACCCGAAATTGAGTATACGCACCAAATGAAGTCACACGGTGCCGCATCGTCGTGCGTCTGTCACACACACGCTTCATTCTTCCGAAAGTTTATTTGATTTTCGACAGATTTCTGGTGAATACAATTTTTATTTTGTCCTTTTCACGCCCATTACCATTTCAGTTTGGCATCTTGCTGCAAAAAGCAAATAAATGGTTCGAAAGATTGTAGCATTCAAAAACCACTCACAATATTGCGCGACTATGGAGATTTTCTATTAAAATGACATAAGATTTTTCATATCACAATACTAACGCCATCTGTCTTTTGTTACAGATACTGGCACTTTACTTACACGATGTGGCCTAAGAAAGGCGCGGAGTCCGGGCCTGGTACGCCAACGGCAGAAGAGGAGATCAAAGTGGTGTTGGTAGGCGACACTCAATGCGGCAAGACGGCCCTGGTGCAGAGATTCGTGTCTGACACCTTTGTTGAGGTAAGTTCCTGCTTTTTTGACTTTAACTTTGAGTTTGACTTTGACTATGACTTTGACTTTCACTTTGACTTTGACTTTCACTTTGACTTTGACTTTGCCTTTGAATTTGACCTTTAACTTGACTTTGACTACCTATTAATTAAAAGGCGCGGAGTCCTTCCCCGGCACGCCAACGACCGAAGAGGAGATCAAAGTGGTGCTAAGACGTCACTGGTGCAGAGATTCGTCTCTGACACTTTTGTTGAGGTAAGTGCATTTTTTCCCGTTCAGAATTGGTCTTCGACCAATTTTTGGTTCTTTAAATGCATTGTGAAGTCTAGCCTAGATGTATGTTAGTCCTAGCCTTTATAAGTTTTGCAGCATGCTTGCTGTGCGATTGAGTTCGAAATTCAATGTTTCGTTTCCCAACGAAGATTCTAAACCTCTGGCCACGGCACCTGCCTGTCTGGTAGTTCTGTAGGTACCCATCCATCGCAAACAAGATGGACTAACGTTATCCTATCCTACTTCCTACTAATATTATAAAGGCCGATGTTTGTGTGTGTGTTTGTTACGACATCACGCTAAAACGGCTGATTAGATTGACATGAAATTTTGCACAAATATAGAAGAGTATCTAGAATAACACATAGGCTACTTTTTACCACGGGAAAATGTCTTATTCCTACGGGATCACGCATATTCCAATATTTTTTGCAAAGGTGGCGTGACTGAGCCGATTCGCGTTTTAAACGTTTTCGCCGAAAACTAACAGTGACATCTCTTGGCGAGTAATGCTTTCTTCCGGCGGAATAATAGGTTGCAGCGGGTGAAACCGCTGACGAGCAGCTAGTCAACTATAAATACCTCGAGATACTGTCTAAAGAACAAGTTTATATCCACCACTGATCTCATCAATAGGTAAACTCCATTTTTATTTCGACGAAACCCATAGCTAGCCAAAGTCTAACAACCCCCTACTAAGCAGCACACAAAATACAAGTCTTTTTCCATCGAAATTCTTTGGCGCCGTTTTAAGAATGCCCGGCGCTGCCAGTTCGAGGAATCCAAAAAAGGCGGCAAAACCAAAGAGAATCTTTACACGTGTGTGATTTACTGGATTTGCTTTTTGTAAACAGGATGTTACAAAGAGAAATACCTTTGAAGCACGCTTGAAGCTCATTAGATCGAGTTTTGCCCTTGATGATGTTTATGAAACTTATTATGAAAGCTTTTTAACCTTATTGAAGTTCTATTTAGTACCTACTTCAGTTTTTTTTTGTTTGACTTTAGGCAGGCGGCCGGTCATAAAACATAGCTGAGTCCTTCTGCTACCTACATGTTTTTGTGCTCTAATAAAACATGTTGTGGTCCCCGAAGATGATGAAGACAAGATAATTAAGTCATGTTTAAAATATGTAAATAGATTGCGATGACACAACATAATTTTAATACGCAATCTCCTTGGGGTAATTAGTATTCTATACGTAACGAACGTGTGACAAGGTGACAAAATTGAGTACACTTCTCGCATTTTCTTATTTTCATAACTTTAATCTTAGAACTAAGGAACCTTAAAAATCGCTTTTTGTTTTCTTTGTAGTGGAATTCGGTAACTCCTCCAAAACAACGCAATGGATTTTGATGCGTATTTAAATTACATCCAGCCGCCATTTACAGATCTATTCTTCATTCGTGTTGCTTTAACAACATAATTCCGCAAGAGATGATAGCATGTATAGTTCATCGCAATCATAGCGTCATGAAATTACATGACCAGCCTAAGCGGCCAAGTCTGGTGGCAATACTTAGATACAAAGTACACGACCAGCGTAACTTGGCCTCTCGCTTAGGCTGGTCATGAACTTATGACCATGACTCTCATGATTTTGAATGGACTGTAGTTAGGTATCTAATAATACAAGTTCCAAACTTGGTTTAAAGTTTCGCATCTGTATTCTAATCTTAAAAGGTTACAGAGTAACAAATTAATTCCTTCTACAGGGTTGACTGAGTAAAATTTAATTAATTCCAACTTGGCGGAAGTACTAATGGATATCGATCTGATCTCGCTTTAAAATGTCTTCTTTTTGAGTGGGATACTGAGTCGTCCAACGACCCGAAGATCCCTGGTGTCAGAACTTTGCAACCGTCTACTACAAGAAGCAGGCCTCTGGCACGCCGTCTAAGTAATCATGGACAGCATGTATCAACGTGTCTTACGAAGCAGGGAACTATCTCGCTTTGTGGAAAATGAGGTGGTTCAGCCTGCAATGTCCTAATCAGACTGGGAATAAATTCACATAGTCATATCATAAATATCAACTTTGTGAGTGACCCACCGGGAATCGAACCCGGAACCTTCTGCGACTCATGCAGTCGCACTACCACTGCGTCACAGGCGTAAATGACCCCTAATTATATATGGTTAACATGGACTTAACAACTATCACCACAGACGAGGGATTAAACGGCGCGCGGGGCGCCTTTACCTACAAATGGCTCACTCAGTACTACTGACGATTTTGACGCTTACTGCCTTTAACTGGAATCTCAGAGGAAATCACGGTAACAGAAGATGGTTGCCACGAGCGTCACATTCCTTGGATTAAAATTGGCTCATCATCATAAAGACTTTCTTGTATCAGATTTTGCAGATTTAATTTCTTATATAAGTACTTTGAGATTTCTGACAGTAGTAATCCGGGCTTTGTAGCAAGTGACAATCGCGAAAATCCTAAAAAGGGTCGAGTGATCTTATTGTAAACTCTCTATTTTGTGGAAAATCGTTATGGCGAGTCGTAATAAGAGGCTTGCGAGCGAGCGCTTGTTTATATTCACTTCGAGAGTCATTCAGAAGACTGTGTATCACCATAGAGACAGGTTGTCAGCCTGTCGCCTAAAATTGCAATACACATCAACTCTCTAAACCAGACTGGGAACAAATTTATAAAGTGTCAACTTGATGAGTGATCCACTGGGATTCGAACCCGGAACCTTCTGCGTCAGTCTCACTATAGCCACATTGGCTGTAAAACGTTATAGCGAGAGAGCGCTTGTTTATATTGACGGGATTATTAGAAAGTGCAGTAAAGTTCGGGCTTGTACGGTTAGCCGGGCTTTACAGATTACTAGCTCAGCGACTAAGCTTATGTCGTGCGCTAGTAGTAGCGTACAGATTAGAACGTTTTGATGTACATACATACATCACGCCTATATCCCTTTGGGTGGTAGCCAAAACATAAACGGTTAAACTGTAGAAAACAGCTATTTACAGGAGAGACTGTTTGTATGTTATTGTTCAGAAGACTGTGTGTACATCACCATAGTGACAGATGGTCAGCCTGTCGAATAAAATTGCTATACACATCAACTCTCAAATCCCTTAGTCGCTTCTTACGACACCCACGGGAAAGATATGCAGTGATGTGATTCTAAGCCGGCATCACACGAAAACTTTATCCACTCGTATGAAGATTTTGCTTAGTATATTTTCATTTAGGTTTAGACAAGCTCTATAAATGTCAAAATCACATTTGTTTGTTTGTATACCTGTGTTGGACTTATTCTTTGCGAGTTTATTTCTTCACTCCTACTGAAGTAACTTTACAAAGACCATCTTTAATTCGAGAACCGATAGTAAAAACCGAACTCAGTACACGAAACTGAAGTAAACAGACTTAGCTTCAATTGGTACAGTCGTCGCTTTAAAACGAATTAGGAACTTTGCAACAAACACTCTGGCTATCTCTTTCACCCCCTTTGTCGAAAGTTGTTTGTCTCTGTCTAATTTTAGGATTCAAATCCAGTACCTACCTAGCTGGTACCTACTTTGGTTTGGATTGAGAGGAAACGGGAAAGTGTTTACGAATCAGTCTAATTTGTAAACCAAAACGTGCTATCTACTTAGTGCCGGTTTACTCGTAGAATAGCATGATATTTTTGGAAAACTAGCAAAATTTTCTACCGCGGGCAGGATTTGATCCAGAGACTTTCGGCATACTTTATGTACCTACTGCTGTCCCTCTACCAACTGCCTGATCAGCCCAATTTTTTCCTGCATAGGTAAATGTTCAAGTGTATCTTGGCCACTGACGCGTGGCAGGGCTCCTTCTACCGGGATAGTTTAGGTACAAATTTTCAACGAATAATTCATACCATGGAATGGGATGCATCTTGGGTATGTTAAAAAGCGAATAAGGGATGAAACAAGGAAGTCGGCAAAATTTTCTTCCATAAAGCCGCGCAAAGTTTACTTTTTTCAAGATTGGCACACGCCCTTTTAAAAAGCCCTATATAAACTACAGTGGTATCTGGATCTAAGCACTTGGGTAGCGGTATACTTAATCGCTTGACAATTTGTATCAATGTGAATGCCGCATACCCACGTACTATGCCAGTTCCATTTGGGTTTGAGAATAGCTCTGCTGTTGGACATGGGCTTCCTCCTATTGCAAGCGGATTGTCAAGGCAATTGGTAGAACGCTTATGTCAATCCTGGAATTTATCCTTTATTCACCTTTTGCACAAAGTAAGTATTGGCTAGCGCAATCCAGAGAGTCGGCTTCGAGCAAACGCGGCTAAACTCACTCAGACATCCACACGCGTCGTTTACGCGCTCTGTGGAACCGTGTCGAACCGGCTATGGTTGAGTGTGAACGGCGCGTTCGGTGCGGGCGGACGGAATGGCGAGTAAAAAAAAATATTTTTGTGATGTGTTTGGGTGTAATAATATAATAACACAACAGAAAATTGTGCATTGTCATTTTTCAGTTTCCCACGCAATAATGAAAAGTAAGTAGAACTTTTTAAAACTACAATTTTTAGTTCTTAATATGTGCATTAGCGTTTTAGGTAGGTACGTACGTAGAAGTAGGTAGGTTACGTTACGCTTCAGTTTGATTTGGTAGGTATACTCAGGTAGGTACCTACTTCCTTATGGTAAAAAATATTTCATATCGGCCAGGTAATTTAGGAGTTTATCAATTGCATATGCCTAATTCATACTTACAAACGATAGGTAACTTCATAAAAAAAATCAGAAAGTAAAAGTAGCAACCCTAAAGAGTAGGCATAAGTGATCGAAAGAAGGGGCGAGCTGGCCTTCTGTAAATTCTCTATTTTGTGCCTTTTGTGACACCCATTGATGCAAAACAGTCCGAAACCAGTAGCGCCCGGAACCCCTATTTCAGGTTCTTTCTAAACGCGAAAGCGTCTTATCTCTCTTCGTGTGGGACACCGAGTCGCCCAACGACCCGATGAACCCTGGTGTCAGAGTTTTACAACCGTCTACTACAAGCAGCAGGCCTGTGACATGGTTATGTAACGACCGCCATCATAGACAGCAACCGGGGCCGACGGCTTAACGTGCCCATACGGTACACGGAACCATCTTACTTTTCGGACAATCAGGTGGTTCAGCCTGCAATGTCCTAACCAGACTGGGAACAAATTCACAAAGTGATAAATATTAACTTTGTGAGTGACCCCACCGGGAATTGAACCCGGAACTTTCTGCGTGGCAGGCAGTCGTACTAACCACTGCGCCACATCGGCTGAAAGCGTCTTAGCAACCAATGTCTAAGCCTACGGGCTTGATACCAAAATATCTACCGCTTATTTGTATTGGAAACATATTACAACCCTCTGTAAGCTATCGCCAAACGACTTGAAGACGACTCTAATACCAAATTGCGCGTCCCAGTCACGTCGCATATGACTTGGATCGGATTGTGTGTTGTTGAGGCGTATTAGAAAGATCTTTATGAAAACAGCTGCCGTGTGGTTTTATAGGTTTGGGACTTAGTTTAGCATCCCCACATTTCTACCAGTAGCTGTAGATTGTCGCAAACTTAGCGGCTGATGTAAAAGATTCCAGCGTGTATTTTGGTACTTACTTGTAATGTTACCTAAAGCCTGTCCTTTCCATGGACACTCCCTCTCTCTCTTCTTGTGGGATACCGAGACGTCCAACAACCCGAATAACTCTGGTGTCAGAGTTTTACAACCGCCTACTACGTGCCTATTATAGGTTAGGCCTCTGACATGGCTCTGTTACGACGGAAAATCCTTTTAATGGTACCCTTATTTTCCAAGCGTCGCGGCGTCGCGGCGGCGTCGTTGTCGCTGTCAAATGACTGGTTTGTATAGGTTTCTATGGGGATACCAGAAAGCAGAAGGATGACAGTGCGCTGAGAAGCTCAGGGTTTGTATGGGATACGGTCGGGTTTTTATACAAGACCGCAGCGACAACGACGCCGTCAAAATTTCGTTGACGCGCGTCGTTGCCGCGACGCTAGGTTTATAAGCCTACCATAACTCGTCAGAGGAGGATAATAATGTGGTGGATCATGCAGCATTTTTTTACAAAATGTGTGCCATTCGCTTTGTAGGTACCTACCTAGACCACCAGACACTTTCAGACAGAGCCTGTAAGTAGGTAATTCCAGTCTGTAGACATGTTTGTTTACTGCCCCGAGTGATCCCCGGAATAATAACTCGTGTTGGCTCGCCGCTAACTCGTCCCACGTGGCTCCCTGTCTAGTGAAGAACGTGTCACGAGTGTCACACAATTTACACGGATGTGTTTTACGTGTAAAGTGTGCCATATTTTTCATCAAGATATTTTGTAATATAGGCGAGAAACTCATGTGATGTCCGTTTCTTTTGCGCAGCGCTATCGCATGCGTTAGGTAAATGCGATTTTCCAACTTATTTTCATAGAAATCCAGTTTATTCAGATAAACAGACAGATGCATCATTGTGCAATGCGCAGCGCTAGCGGATGCGTCTGTCAAACAGTTTGACATTGTCTACTTACGTGTAAAGGTGCCCGCAGACGTAGCTATAGATATGCCAGTGTTGTGGTAAATATATTTCTCAATCATCGACAGAGTTTTTTTAAATAAATCATAATAAAAGATCTACAGCTACAAAAGAACGTAAAGACGTATATTTTCAAATAACTCGATGAGTAGAATGATAAAAGAAATTGAACGTGCAAAAATAACAAGTTTTTAATATATCTGGCATGGCAGTTTTCTGGAATCTATTGTCTTTGATCTATCGAACGGCAACATCACTAGCGATTTATAGCCCACGTCTGTGGGCACCTTAACTTGTTTGCCAGATTAAGTATATCCTCGATATTTTACATCTCGCATCGCACGTCTCATCTGTGAAGATAGCCCCAGACAGTAATTTTAGTTCCTTGCTCTGTGGCCGTCAATACCGAAAAATGGTGCATTATAGAGTGCGTTTCATCTTATAGTTCCTATGGCGTCATGTTGGCAGCATTGGAAATTTGTATGTAATATTATGGCCGCCATGTCAAATTACATACAAATTTCCAATCCTACCAACGTAGCGCCATAGGAACTATAAGATAAAACGCACTATAGAGC